CTGCAGTTGGAGTGGTGAGGGGAGTGTAAGAAAGGAGCAAGTTACTACTTCTGCTCTCCAGGGTGATGTTGAGACTACGTAACTGCACTGACCAATCAGAATGGACGCTGGCTGGAGCAGGGTCTGTGGTAGTCCTGGGCCATGGTGGGCATTGGCCTCCTGGTTTCTGGATTATGAAGAGGTCTAGGGGGTGCCAAGGAGTGGCCAGGGTAACAGGAAGGGTACTCAGAGCTGCAATTATTTACCTACTGAAGGGAGTATTTAGATATTTTAATAACGAGAACTGGTATACCCATGTAGACTTGCTGAATGTTACACCTTCCTGATCTCAGCACCGTGGCCCCAGGGAAACCATGGGGAGGCATTCTGGCCTCTGAAAGAATACCAGTCTGGAGGCTGCCCTCCAGCCACTGGCCAGTGTGCGGGGGCCCTGCACTCTGTACCATGCTTGGGGTTTATGGGCTGTTTTTCACTCAGTCGTTCCCAGGTTGTGGCTGAACAGTGCTCAGTAGGTGAGGCAGTACTAAGCCCTCACTGTGCACTTAACAGTTTTCTAGGAGTGTGGAGGCTACATGGAGGTCCCTTCTTAGAGGGCCCTGGCCAGACAGAAATCATCAGAGAGACCCACAGAACAGGCAGCAGCCGGCCCTTGCAGGTCTGGGGGCCTAGCCAGGGTGGTGGACGTCAACCCAGGTTAGACCTTCTAGAACTTCTGAGACCTGCCCATTTCCTCAGTTAAAAATATGGGCAGTGATACTTAGACAGAATCGAGGAGGTGGATAAAGATCTTAGTGGAGATCTTGCTTTCTTGATTGGTTAGAGAACGTCCCAGCCTTTGCTCCTGGATTTGAGGTCAAATATAGTTCCAAAGAGACAGAAACTTTTGTCTTAGGGTCTGTGGTCAGCTGTTCCCCCTGTTCACTGCCCAGCTCATACCAGCACAGCCCTGTCACCCCCGGTTTAGGCTGAAGCTGAGGGAGGAGAGATTGAATTCTTAGCACAGCCTAGATTCATCCAGGAGTTCTGGAAGTGTCCTCTGGTGGTTTTTATGGTACAATGTTCTGGCTGGTTTTTGGCTGGGCAAGGGGCAGGGAGGAATGGCTACAAATCAGAAGCTCCTGCCCAAGCCGACCAGCCCTACCTGGGCCCTGGACCCTGGCTATTCCCCTCCATTCTGGTGAGTGACTCATTTGCAGGAAAAGGATGAAGGTCACTGATTTGTGCCCACCCAGGAGCAGAGGGGACTGGGGCTCAATGGGGGGGCCCTTCTGTGGGGCTCTGGCCCCCCACCTGAGGCCCCTCCATGACAGCCACTGGCCTGGTCTGGGCAGGGCTGCACGCCTGTTCAGCGCTGCTGTTTCCATAAGCTAATGAGGGCAGAGTGTGAGCCACAGGCGATGATGCTGGGATATTAACTCTGACAGGAAGCTTGATCATAATTATCTTAACGAGGATAGGGTTAATTACAGTGGAAACTTAAAAGTTCTCTCAGTTTGAATCCACTGGAGCCCAATGCGTTGTGATGTTTTGTCATTTTGATGTGACTTTGGAAAAGGCGCTGGCATGCTCCCAGCAGCCGCTGAAGCTCCTGGGGGAGCCCATGCAGAGCCCTGGGAGTGAGGGAAGGAGGTAAGAGGATGGTACCTGTGCATGAGATCCTGGCTGCATTGCTGTTGGTGGAGGGGGAGGCAGGCACCCTGCAGGGAGCTCCGGGGGTGGTGGGGGAGGGTGGGCGCTGCTTAGGTTTCCAGAACAATCCAGACCTGGACAATCTCCCTCCAGCTCTCTGTGCCTAGGTCCTGGGTGAAACCTTGCCGTCTCCTAACAGCCCCCAGCCCACACCCCAGACATCACGCTACTCCAGGATGCTGGCGAGTGATGCTGGACTGACAGTTGGCCTCTCCACTGGGGATCTGGTTTTGGGGTGCATTTTGCTGTCCACACACAAGGTGATAGCAGACAAATTGTGATTTTATTTAACAGCACATATTTGCAGGCATCTGGCATATCGGGGAATTAACTCAAGGATCTACACACATATTTTTTCTCCTATTCCTCCCTAGAAAACAGCAGTAAAAATAACAGTACAAAATAAAAGTAAAGTAAAAGGTAGAACCACCTCCCTTCAGGTGTATGTGTGTTGTCATCCACGTGCCAGCTGAGACCCCCAAAACCTGTCCTTCCCCGTACCATGCTCTCCGCCCCCTGCCTCCTGTGCCCCAGCCCTCAGCTCTGGATCTAGCCGCTTAAATCCCCAGGAGCACACCACGCTGATGACATGAAAACAGATTTATTCATTACCAGTCACCCACATAACATGGTTCTCTTTTTACTGAGCAGCTAATAATGTCACATGGCAGAAAGAGTCTCAAAACCAGATAGGTGACAGGGGATTGGAGACTGATCTTCCCAGCTCTTCTGGGAGGTCTCACTCTGGTGTGGACTTCTGCCCCAGAACCCACGCTGCAGGGGGAGAAGGGCTGTTTGGGTGGGGGTGGGCATTGCCTTGGTGCTCCTGAGCGCTCCCCCTCTTCATGCTGTGTCATTTTGCTTTATGCCTCCCTGAAGCACTGTTGGAAAGGAGCTGTCTTCTGCTTGCCAGTTGCCAACCATTTGCTAATTCTCATCAGAAGAGTCTAATATTTGCATAACATAACTCAGGAGCAATGTGTACTTGGATGCTGCTTTTGAGCAGAGCCCAACTGATGTTTGTGCACAAAGGACTTACTCGCCACCCGTAAGGCTCCCTAATGGGAAGTGGCCTCACCTCTCCTTGAGGTAAAGGCGCACAGCTCTGAGAAGCCTTTTGGCACATCACTCACTAACTCCTAGTGGAGGAAGGGACTTCAGAGGAGCCCAAAAGTTCCCGGCAGAAGCCTGACTTGCTGTACGCCTCCTCCATGGGTTTGTTCACAGCCTGTCCCGTGTTCCAGACACACCCCCAGGGTCAGGAAAAAAAACTTTAGGAAAAAAAAAAAAAACAACAGTGAATAAGAGGAGGAAGGAACAGAAAAAGCAAACATGCTAGTAACTAGTTAGTGGCCCTTCACTTATTCTCTACAAGATCCTGTGAGCTGGAAGGAACACAGGACAGGAGAGCTGAGATGGGCTATGACACACCTGTATTCACACAACAGAAAATGGAGGAGCAGAGGGCAAGTCCCAAACCTTCCTGCCTAGATGTGTGTAAGTTGTGCGTTTTTATTCTTTTGTTTTTATTTTTTGTGGGTACGTAGCAGGTGTATATATTTATGGGTCACATGAGATATTTTGATACAGGCATGCAATGTGTAATCACATCAGGATCAATGGGACATCTAGCCCTTCAAGCAATTATCCTCATAAGTTGTGTTTTGCCTCTAGGAACCATGAGGAAAAAGAGAAAGGAGGAGGAAATGAAACCCGGTGATCTCCGGACCCCTACTCCAAAATGTGTCCTCCAGTGGCAGGGCTGGTAGTGTCGGTTGGAGAAGCAGGCATGCTCTGGTCAGCGAGTCCTGGGTGGGACCACCCCGAGGTCTGACAGGAATGGATAGTGCAGGCAGAGCTCTGGGCCCAGTGGCATCTACAGATTTAATTACTTACTACACGTTTTACACCTTGCAAGTATTGACTCCCCATTTCAGAGTCCTCTTGGCAGAGATCCCGCAAGGGAGCTTGGATGCCTTGGGAAAGCTCTGGTGCTGAGTTCACACTCACAGCAGATGTGCGGACATTGCACACGAAGCACACAGGGCTCTAACAGAAGCTCTATCAGTAAATGAATAAATCGTGGGAACGACATCTCCCCGATTCCTCACATTTTATAGAATAGCCAGGCATCCCATACGAGTCTCCCTCCAGTCCACATCGTAGCTCAGCTGTCAGCCTATGCAGGCTCAGCACATCTCTTGGGTCTGGCAGGTGAACGAGCCAGGAGTCTGTGTCTTCGTGTAAGACCCTCCACTGGCCGGCCTGCTTTAATTAATGTCTGTGCACTTGTGCAAAACTGCCCGGTGTCACCTCCAACCCAACACTCATGAGAGCCCATAAAATTAAGAGTTAACTTTCAGTGATGTGTATAAGCAAGGCTACTTTTCCCTTTCTGCTATTTTTTTTTTTCCTGGAGTCGGGTACTTAATTCTTTCAGTTGCCTTTTTATTTACTGCCTCAACATCTACAGGGCTGCACTCTACACTTCTTTCAAAAATTAAGTGAGAAATCCACTTTCCATAAATTAAAACAGTAACTTCAAGCCAGGAGCTTTGAAGCAGCAATTCCCCACAACCCCTGTCTCCCCACCCACAGCAAAAACAAATAAAAAGAAATAATAAAAGAAAAGGCCCTCTCAGGCCGGAGTGATTATGTAATTCCATAGATGCCTTGCCTTTTGGGCAGCCACCGGGATGCTGGGCAGAAGCAAATTAAGTGATTAGTAAAGAAAAAAGGCAAAGAAAAAAAAAAGTCAAAGGATGTGAACGGAGAGAAAGGGAGCCTTCCCTGCTGTTTCCCCCACGACTGCGCAGAGGAGAACCGCTAAGAAATGATACTTGAAGTTATATTTATTATTGTAAGAGGGTATGATATTTCTGGGCAGGAATGATGGATGACAACTTGAATTTGTGTCCAGGGAATGAAGGTGAACTGTGACAGAGTTATTTATCTTGGGAATGGAGGTTAGGGTCAGCCGAGGCTGGGTGCCTGAAGGCACAAGACATTGACAAATTTATCCTGCAGGCCGTATCTGAAGCCCTTTGTTTTGGATCCTGGCTACTCACTAAGTGACCCTCATCCTTCATGTTGGCAACGCGTGAAGGATGCGGTGGGTGCCAGCGGCCCCTTCTCCCCCGCCGCCCCCGCCCCGACTCCTGCTACTAATTCTTGTCATTCACTTTGCTGACAGGCACCAAGCCCAAACTATTCCCAGTCCTGAAAGGGAAGGTTAAAATATTTATTTCGGTTCATAATGGCCTCCCTGATTTAGTGCAGGATCATTTTTCCTGTTGCCTTTGTCATTGCAGGTCACTGGAAGGACTGAGCGCATTCAGGAGCCTGGAGGAACTCATCCTGGACAACAATCAGCTGGGGGACGACCTCGTGTTGCCAGGGTTACCCAGCCTGCATACCTTAACCCTCAACAAGAACCGAATATCCTTTCCTCTGCCTGCCACCCCCACTCCCCACCCAGCCCCACAGTTGTCCCTCCACCCCGCCCTGCACAAATACCTGCAAAATGTCAAATGAGTTTTATGTGTCAGCTAAATTAAAGTATGTGAAATACAGTCCGTGGGCAGACAAAGCGTTCTGTCTCCTGGCACTCGGGACACTTCAGAGTAATTTATTATAGGTCATTCATAAATGAAACGCACCATTATATCTTCCTGTTGCTCCATTTCAGTGTAGAGATCTAAGTTATGGCTGTGAAGAAATCTTTTTAATAGATAAAATAGAGAAAGAAAATAATGTCACTGCTGCAGAGGCGGCGAAGCCCGGTCTGTTTGCTTGGGCTTGCGTGGGAGGGCGACCTCTGGTGGGAAGTCCCGGGTAATGCCGCCAAGCAAACTCCGTCTCCTCCCAGGTTTCTGGAAGGCTCTCTTGCAGGCTTGGGGAACAGTTCTGGCGAGGGAAGGGAGCTAAGGTGGAGAGACGTGTGAAGCCCAGGCCTGGCTATGCCCTCACTGGTGGATACTATGCTGGGCTGGTGAAGAGAGAGGCCTAGAGGACCCATGATAGTGTATTGTCTCCCCTATGGAGGCAAGAACCTAACCTAGCCTAGGGTAAGATTTCCAGGGACTGACTGCTCTGGATTCCGTAGTGGGCATGGAATCAAGGAACCCTTGCTGCACCTAAGGCCCGTAGCTCCTGCACTGTTAGTGTAGTGGATTACCAGGCACTAGAATGCAAACTAGATGGGATAGGGAGTTTCCTCAGTTTGGTTAACTCCTCTGTCCTTCACACAAAGTATAGTGCCTGGCACCAAGTGCAAGCTCAATAAATATTTGTGGGATGAATGCATCGTTATCCTTAGCTGTTTTTTTATTGAGCACTCCCAGGAATGAGGCATGGTGCTGGGTTCTTTACGCGTGTTATTCATTCCTACCAAGCCCTGTGAGAACGGTGTGTCTTTTCCATTTATCTGGACATGGAAAGAGGTGAGGTGTAGGCAGACGGCCAGACATTAACAAGATGCTAGGTCCCAGATGATTCACTGTCAACTGTGTAGTGTCCAAAGTCCAATGTCCGCATTCTACTGTGTTGCTTCAGACTTGGTAGTCCAATGGCTTTGTTTTATTGATGGAATGTCTGAGACCCAGAGTAGTTAAATCATTCGTTCACATTCATACAATAAGTTGGAAATAGAAAAGAAGCCAGGGCATTTTCCTCTAGAGTATAAAATAAAATCACATATACATGTGAGGTTTAGCATATAGGCATATGCTCGCATTTAAGAGAGATTTGCAGAAGTATTTATTGGCTACTGTTTATACTTCCAGCCGTAAGTTAATGTTTTCTTTATCCTCTAAGATATTGTCTCAGTCAGCTCTTGCTGGTATGGCACAATACCATCCATAAGGTGGGTTAAATAACACACATTTATTTCTCACAGTCTGGAGGCTGGAGATTTGAGATCAGAATGCCAGCATGGTTGGGTTCTTGGTGAAGATACTTTCTTACTGCGTCATCATGTATTAGAGAGAGAAAGCAAGCTCTTTCAACTCTCTTCTTATAGGGGCAATAATCTCATCAGAGGGATCTACCCTCCTAACCTGATTACCTCCTAAAGGCCTCATCTCCACATACCATCGCTTTGAGGATTAGAATTTCAACATAGGAATTTGAGGGGAGACACAAGGATTCAGACCATAGTATTATAAATATGCTTCTGTGGTCACTATTAATTAGCATTTTGATAGAAGTAAAAAGGGAAAGCCTATAAGTAAATTCACAGTGTTTGTCACAATGAAATTTTGGTGGATTTTCCCCTCTTCTATCCATTAGTCAACCAAGTTTCCCAATCACCGTTTGAAAAATTGTTGTAGTCAATGTGTCTTATGGCTTTCTAGGCTGTCCTAGATGATCAGTTGGCCAATATTCTCAAATCGATCAATGACAGAAGGATTTTTAGACTAGAATTTAGATGATATGTTTGCCCATGTCCTATGTCCCAGGTCTCTGTAGAATATTAGAGTCCATGGACTTTGGTTGGTGGCTCAGGTTAATCATATTTAGCAGTGTGGCCTTGGACATGTTATCTTCTGTGAGCTTCTTTTTCTCATTTTTAATGTATTGGACTGAATGATGGTTTTATTCCCGGTATTGCTGTCACTGGAGATAGGCAGGCCTCTTGGCTTCGGAGTGTGAGAGGTTTTCTGTGTCTTTGGTTGAGTCCTTTCCCTATTCTGTGCATCTGCTTCTCCTTTCTGTAGCAGTAATGTTGAGGGAGTAATGGTAATGGCCTAGGAGCGACTGAAGCCAAAGACACTGTGTGGCTGTAAACCTGACAGGTGATATCACCATGCTGTTGTAGCACATTTTCTTATCAGTGAATACTCTGAATAGACTTCTTTTCTTTTTTCTCCTCTGGTCTACTAATGTGATTGTGAAGATCAACTTCGGCGTCTACTTGACTCCGAAGTCACAGAGAAAGGTAGGTAACACCAGGTAACACATGCTGTCTTTCAACCCAATACTCCTGACTCCACTTTTCAGCTAACTGACTCTCCTACCTGATTGTGAAAATGTTGCAGGCTTTCCAACAATTTCTATGTTCCATGCTGTTGTTACTACCCCATGAAATGCCTTAGATTTTAACAAGAGGGACTATCACATAGTGGTTAAGAACAATAGGCTCTTTACATTAGCTTTTGCCGTATAATAAGCCACGCCAAGACTTAGTGGCTTAAAACAACAACTATTTACAATTCTTTGGATCAGATGTTTGGCCAGGGCTCAGCAGGATGGTTCTTTTGCTGGTCTTACCCTGGACCACTCATGCAGCCACATCTACCTGGAGGCTCAGGACCATCAACTTGGGCTAGATGGTCTAAGAGGGCCTCACTCATATCCCTGGAGGTTGGTGCTGGGTGTTGGCTAAACTACCTGTCTCAAACAGGCTAGCATAAGGCACTTCACATGGGAGGAGTATTCTAAAGGCGCAAGCCCATTGTACAAGTAGTTTTCAAGTTCACCTTATACCATGTATGTTAATATCCCATGACCAAAGCAAGTCACATACCAACTGTAGAACACATATACACACAGGGTGTGTATATGAAGAGGCATAATTCATTTCTGTAACCATCTCTTTACCCAGGGGACCATGGCATTGGCATCTTGTCTTCTTAAGATTTTACTTCATATTTGTGATAAAGGGAGCCCTAGAAACAAGTAACTATTGACCTCCTGAAAATGTATTAGCTCTTTTGTGTAAATTGAATCTTTAAACATATTAGGAAGCTTGCTGCCAAATGAGGTTTTATCTTGAATTATTTTGTGAATTTTGCTTTATTTATTGATTTGTTTTTTGGTTTGCTTTTTGGCATATGTTAGAATGGTTATTCACCCCACCTGCTATGTAAAATCTAGATTTTCCACTTTGGTTTGACTCACAGTTAAGTGTGTCTATAATAATGCTGTAGGTTACTAGACCCTGGAAACTCGGGTCATTGGCTTCTTTATTCCTTTAACAAGAGGGACTATCATATAGTGGTTAAGAACAATAGGGTCTGAAGGCAGACTTCCTGAGCTTCCACCCCAAACCTGCCACTTCTGTGCTTGATCTTGGGCAAGTCACTTATCTCTGTATTTTGGTTTCCTTTGAAAATGTGGACAGTGGTAGTGCCCATCCCATAGGTTGTTTGAGGATTATTCTAAGTACCTCGGAGTTAGGCTCTAGTAACATAGTAAAAGCTGTGTAAAGGTTAGTACTCTCATTATTATCCTAGAGAATTGTGTAAGCTCATCTGCTTTGACTTGGGCCACATTATAACCAAGGCCCGAGTACAGACATACTTCTGAGTGTAGAATGCTTCTTCAACTTGCGTAATTTAATACTGCCCCAAGGCCATTCTGTGAGTTGGGTACTGTTGGTGAATACTTCTCATTTTTATGGAAAAACTAGGAGTAGATGAGCTTTCTGAAGTCACATAGATCGTCAGTGCTGGGGCTCAGTCTAGAACCCAGGTATGCTGCTTCCCAGCTCCAGACTCTGAAACACAAAGGAGCGACGATCATTGCCCATGGAGAGGAACCAAGACACAGGAGGAGTCAGCGTCCTGGGCCTGCCTCTGCAAGGTCCTCCTCCCAGCTGAGAACTGCCGGGAGTCTGCTCATCAAAGGGATTCCGGGGCCCAGACTCAGCGTCTGGAAAATTTCCTCTGTGTTCATCAGTCAGTGCCTCCCTGCCATCTGCATACCTCCTACTGGACCTCCCATCTTTTTCCACCAGCACTTTGTCTCACTGTGTTGGTGTCCTGGCCTGGTATATCTGAAAGACTGGTTGTCTGAGATTACCTCTTCATCTCTTGGTTTGTAGGAATCTCATTTTCTTTCTTTGGTTCATTGAGACTGGCCAGGTAGTCACTGGCTATCGACTTGAACCCCTTCGCCACTGCTCTCACACTCTCTTTCTCTCTGTCTCTCTCTCACCCATCCATGAGCATGCACACGCCATCCCCGACCCTTCCACCAGGAGGGGTAGGATATTTGGTAATGGTCTCAGTCATATCATATTTGAATACTCAACCCCAAGTAAGGTTATAACCAACTGAAAATTCAGGAACATGTAGATACTTCACCTTTATACCAATGATTCTCCCCCCCTCTTTCTTTTAGGGTGTGTGTGGGGGACATAAGCCCTTATTTGCTTGAACACATGTACTGAAGAACCAGTGAGTTTGAATGATAATGCCAGCAGGAAACGGGTGGTGCTACATGTTACACAGCTGGGATATGGCCCAGAGACCACTCCAGCGAGTCAGAGGCGGGACTGGCGTTCACAGCCATTTGCTGTGTTATCTTAGGAAAGATTTGCTGTGTCATCTTAGGAAAGTTTTGCTGTGTCATTTTAGAAAAGTCTCTGTGCCTTGTCAGTGGCCTCAGATTCTTTATAAAATGGGTAACACACACTTCCACGTATTGTCGAGAGATT